CAAACATTCTGGTTGTCAGAATCTTTTGTGCTTCCTTCATTAATGCGCTTTTTTTTCAATCTGCAAATTCGTTGTCTCTCGGCTGGAGGTTTTGGAGGTGGTTTTGATTTTTTCCTAGTAAAAATTTTTTTTAAAAAATTAGAAAATTTATAAATGCATAATTAGAAAAATTTTAACCAATTTTTAGAAAATTGATAATAAAAAATTTTTTTATAAACATTTTTTTAAAATGATTTTTTTCAAATATAATATTATCTTAATAGCTGACAAAATATAGTTGTAAAAAGGTAATTATCTCACTAAATTTTTTACGTACAATAGTAAATAGTACATGAAAATTATTTAAGTATGCTAAAAAATAACTTTCCAAAAGAAAATTTTATAAAAACATTATTATAATCAAGAAATATTGTTGATTTTTCAGATTAAATTTAATTTTTCAGAAAATTAATTTAAGATTAATTTTAAGACTAATTTTAATTTTTAATTTGAATTTTTTATTAAATTTAATTTTAAGATTAATTTTAATTAATTAATTTAAGATTAATTTTTCAGAAAAACATTATAATCGAGAAATATTGTTGATTTTTCACATAGTATCGAATTATTGACTTGAATTATTAATATTTAAAATTATTTAGAAAATAAATTGCAGGAACTTGGGGAATTTATTGACATCTGAAAAATAATTTTGTTGGATTAGAAATATTTTACTGCAGATGATATAATTCATATGGGAATTAAATATCTAATTTTATGTATTTCTCCAAATATATATTTTATGAACTTCATCAATAATTATTGTAATATTTAATAAAACAAATCGCATCGCCCTACTGCAATAATACATAAATTATAACGTACTTGACCACGTTTTCTCAGATGTTCCGGCAATATTATCTACACCCTTTTTGCCATAAATATTTCGAAATACTTTTTAGTTCACTTTAATAATGATAAAAATTATAACTTCAATAATTACAATGTTAATTATTGATATTTATAACAAAATAGCAATATAAATACATCGACACTGATAGAAACAACAAGTCTAATAACATATAGTATATAGGTATAATGCTCATACATCATACCCTATGTACGTCTCAATACACTCACAGCAATTAGAAAGCCGTAATACTAAAGGTGCGCTCCAAAACGTGAAACTTTTCGTTAGTTTAGTTTGGTTTTACCCCTGACTTTTCATACCGGGCGCCTATATATGAAAATCGATCTAAGGAGTAAACTCCAAAAATAATTGCTCTGCACAATTAATTGTTGTAACACCCTTTTTGCAAATAGTTGTCACTGTTTTACTGCTAAGTCTAGAGTGATTTCGCCTTGTTTTACAAAAGAATATTAAATAAATTTGAATCAATAAATAGACTATGATCTCTAAAATAAGATTTATTAACATAGCTTTAAAATCTCAGAAGTTTGAACGAAATCTTGCTGAAACAATATAATTCACACAATTATGTTTGTTTGAATTTCACTGTCAAAATTTACTTCCATTTGGCAAAACAGAGGTAAACTTTTTCAACCTGCAACAGCGAAAAATGTTACTGGTTGGCAATCAGGCGAACAAATAAATAGTTGTGTCTTTGGTATTTGAATTTATTTATATGGCATCCGTGACAGCTTTACCTGCGGCATCCTACATATTGTAATCATCTTGAAGGGAGCAGAATCATGGAGAAACGTCAAGTCCGCCTAGGGGTTGAGTTTCTATTTATAGCTAAGATGGCTGACTTAACCGGAAATGGCTGTCTGTTATTTGCTCTAATTTAGAAAGTTGTCCAAAAATATTGATTATATGCAAACTTAATATGTTTTCAAAATAAAATAAGTTTATTTTAATATATGTTCTTAAAAGCGGCTATTATTGGCAAATTTCAGAATAATTACGATATATATTTATGCCTTTTTAACTGTGGTACTTAATAAGTATTCACTACAGAAAAATGCAGGTACTACAACCATGTCAAATAACGGGATGAAATTATTCAACGAAACTGAGGGTAATGTTTATAACTTGCAATACAATCTTCGTAAAATAATGAATATTTCATACTGCTCCTGATAAAACTGCTCACACAAGAATTTTTATCAATAAGGCGGTGTGTATTAATGCGTTTGACTAAAAGTTGTTAATAAATTCAAATGCCAGTATTACATTACATTGCGTAACAGTGTTGCGCAAGCTAATTTTATATTACTTTAAAAAGAATTATATATCTAACGTATTTATACCCATATAAAATGTTTTATACCTTCATAAAGATATTGCAAATTTCCAACAAATAATTTAGTTTTAGTAGTCTATATATTTAAAACCACATTTAGAACTATATAACAATATGGTAATTGATTTATGTAAAAGTTATATGTAAAATATTGCACATATTATAATATTAAGTTGAAAATACAGAGACAACTACCTGATATGCCTACCGGGTATTTTATACTATAAGATATTGCAACTTCAAAATATACTTATTTTAAAGTCTATATATTTAAAACTAACCTAAGAACTATATAATAATATGGTAATTTTGTATGTGGTGTTGTAATAAACCATTGTACATATATCCACCATTAATGTTGATATATAAAACGTAAATAAAATTTGTGATTAAATAAACTATAATTAATTAGAGCACTAGTAAAATTTCTTGATATAAGTACAATGATAAATTTTGCTTTATTGTTTAAATGAATTATTATCACTTGTATGGCAGTGATAAGTTTTGCTCTTTGATTATATAAATTATTATTACTTATAGTATCAAATTTGTTGCCATTAGTTATTTCTTCCCGTCCACTCATAGTTAAATCTGAATTTTCAGTTTGCTCCATTAATAAGTTATTATTTAAATGCTTAAAATATGCCGCATATTTATCTATATCAACATGGTATGATATTATATATTGTTAGCATTAAACATCAATTAATAACCAAAATTTAAAATATTATAAATAATACGAAGGTTGCTATGCGTAACCTGTGTTAGCCCTCGCCACTTAACTTAATACCATGGCCAATTATGTTGGTTTTATTAGAACGTACACTTTCAGAGGTGGCGAACTATTGTGAATGAGACTTTCAAGCACCCCTTATACCATGTATGTAAGTATATAATTAGATCATTTTTAGTTTTGTGAACAGTCTAAAATCAACCAGTAAGGGTCACACGCGTTTTCACACTCAAATTTACGCCCTAGATCATGTTAAAATATTTAGTGTATACAAGTAGCTTTGCTCGTTTTTCGAAGTTTTTAAAAGTTGGTGGCCTTGGTCACACTTATTATACTTAAAAGTAGTCATGAACGATATACCAGTGTTGCAGAGGTGTATATTGAAATATGAGTAAATGTATAGTTTAGTAACGGTTGTATGTATCACCTAAAACTAATCAAGTTAGCTATAGAATTATATATATATAAATGATCGGAGCGAAGAGACGAGTTGGAATCCGGGTGACTGCCAGTCCGTCCGTCCGTGCAAACTGTAACTGAGTAAAATTGAGATAACTTATGAAACTTGCACATATTCAGATATGTATCTGACCATTGGCACGCCCACAAAACGCCATTAATCAAAACGAATAAATTGGCATTACTATGCCCACAACAAAGATAAGTAAGTACATGACTTATTTGGTTTTGACTTTGCGAGAGTATAAAATGTTTTTCCTGTGTTATAAGCTGTTCTGTAGAAGTTGATATGCCCTTATTTTGATATCAGTCCATCAATGCAACGAAAGATTCATAGTCTCTAGAATTGCATAGTTTTTCCTTTTTTGCAAAAATATTGACTTAACACAAGCCTTGATTGGAAAAATTGTTATCAAGATAGGGTTCAAGTTCAACTAGTGAGAGTGGGGTGGGAAAAATATGTGAATGTATTTTAACTTGATCGCGATATTGCTTAATCGTGTAACGTATAGGTTAAGGTCACTGTACAATGTAATACAAATTATATCAATTTATGCTATTTATTTTCAGTTTTCAAAATGCAAGGAAAACCAATGCAAATTATAAGCATTTGTGGAGAAGAAGATTCGTCCAGTTTTCGTTGCATTCTGCAATTAAATGAAGATGAATTAAATAAGATGTTATTGGACGAAAAAATCAAAGATCGCGTAGTGTCTGTGATTTCAGTAGCCGGAGCTTTTCGCAAAGGGAAAAGCTTTCTTTTGGATTTCTTTCTACGTTACATGTATGCCAAAGTAAGTGTTATTTTTTATCAACAATAGAGTAAAAATAAAATATTGCATTTATCTTTCAATCATATTGCAATATGTAAACGCTTCTACTATTATGAAGATCTTTATCTTGATTCTGATCAGTCAGTTCGTATGCGAGCCATATGCTATAGTGGTCCGATTCGGCAGTTCCGACAAATGAGCAGTTTCTTTGGGTGAAAAGGACGTTTGCAAAATTTTAGGTCAAAAATTGAGGGACTAGTTCGCTTATTATAGTATTATCATCTTTATGTTACAATTTGAAAATAGAGGCAATTGAACTTTAACCACGCATACTTTCCATATAACACAATTTTAAATTCCATCAGATTCTTTCTCTCCACCATATACATATACATATATCAAGTACCAACGGATATTGAAACAAAAGATCGGGGAAATAGTGCTTTTAAGGTGTGGCACCTCGCTGCTTAAAATGGTCACAATCGGACAATGGTTTTTCAAGACCCCTTTTGACAGTCTTTTACCGAAAACAGTGATCAAGATGTAAGATTTCTTGAAAATAATGTACCCTGGTGCCAAAAATCAGTAAACGCATACAATAAGTATAGATTATATAAGGATTTTCAAATTTCCTGATCGTTTTATATTTTATATATGGGTCAATATATACGATATCTCATCAAAATTAAGCGATTGCTCACCTAACGGTTGTTTCGGTCAATGAATTATTACAGCCCCTATATGTTAGACGGTATCAAATGATTTTCGTTATTCTAATGGACTTTATGCCGAATATATCGATCATTGTGAGAGAAATATTAATAAAATTGCATGGAAACATATTCTCAGTTATATAATATATTAGGTAGTGCATATTAATATAAAGGTTTGCCAAGACATGAAAATATTTCATCGCCTTTTAGCCTTAGATTTAAAATGTTCGCTTACACCTTCCTTATTTGTTCTATTAAAGAATATCAATTATCTACCATTTCCTCATTTATTTGGTTTATAGTCGAGCCAGAATTTGGTACGATTGATCAATTAAGTTGTCGGATAAAACGAGTTCGAATTAAATTACCACAAATTACGCGGCACAAGATTTTCAATCGAGCATCTAAGATATAAAAATCAAGCCGATTCTTTTAAGGGTATCTTCTTGCTTTTGCAGCTTTACCTTAAATCATAGAAAATAAATTATATACACGTTTTATTGCTTTCGAAACTCACCTTAGTACGTTTATAATAACTTGAATGATAACGATTGGTTTGGCGATGAGAATGAACCACTACAAGGATTTTCATGGCGAGGCGGTTCGCAACGCGATACCATTGGAATTTTAATATGGTCTGACATCTTCCTATATGACTTTCCAAATGGAGAAAAAGTTGCAATAATTTTAATGGACACGCAGGGCACTTTCGATTGTGACAGTACCATGAAGGATTGTGCCAATATTTTTGCACTAAGCACAATGATATCCTCAGTTCAAATTTTCAATATTCAATCTAATATACAAAAGGACGATCTACAGCATTTGCAGTTATTCACCGAGTATGCTCGTATTGCTATGGAGAATACGGGAAAGAAACCATTTCAAAAGTTACAATTTTTAATACGCGACTGGATCCATATCTGTGAAGCTCCGTTCGGTGCACTCGGTGGTAAACAAATACTGGAACAAACAATATTTTCGAAAGACAAGAGATCGGAGGAGAATGAACAACTATGTAAGAATGTGACAACTAGTTTCAACGAAATTGATTGTTATTTAATGCCACATCCTGGTGATGCTATCGAAAACCCCAATTTTCGCGGTTGTTTAAAAGATCTTCGAAGCGAGTTCAGGAAACATTTACGCGACTTGATTCCCTTAATTTTGGCACCGGAAAATTTAATTATCAAAGAAATAAACGGGGAGAAGTTAAAAGTCGCTCATCTCCTAAACTACATTCGGTCATATTTTGAATCATTCAACAGCAAGGAGTTCCCAGAGCCTACAACAATTTTTAAGGTATATATATGTATATTTATTAGCATTTTATAAAATGTGCGAATTGAAAACTTGATTACACGTACATTTTCTTTCAAGGCTACTGCTGAGGCAAATAATCAAATCCATGCCTCAAAAGCCGAAGAATCATATATGGACAAAATGAACGAACTAACCAGTCCCGAAAAACCATATATTGCGGAAGAAGAACTAAACAAAAGGCATGAGGAATTTCAAACGGAAGCGCTTGCATCTTATATGAATACGCCATTATTGGGCAAAGCAGATTTTTTGAAGAAATATTGCAAAAAAATAAAAAACTATACTTCGTCCAGATTTCAACAATTCGTCAAGATCAATAAAGCTAAACTGATAAAATTCTGTAACAATTTGTTAATACAATTAATGACTTAATAAGCTATTATTAATTTCTAGGATCTAGCCGAACTCAATTATTTAAACAATATGAATAAATGCATTATAGATTTTGAGAAGCTTATGGATAATATGCTTATAGGAAATGAATATATTCCTCCAAATGAGTTCAATAGCAAAATGGAAGCTGTAAAATTGAAAATTCTAGAACAGGTAAATACAAAGATACATAATATAAAAAAAAGATTTTATAGTTTTTTTTTCTCAATACGGTTTGCAGTTTGATTCGATTCGATTGAGCAGTACAGAGGATATACATAGACACATTCGTGATGAACTTAAAGAGGCTGTCGAAAAACATTGCATTAAATACAAACAACACAATGATATTAAATTGGTAGGTAGCACAAGAACAAAATGGATGAAACAGCTTAATAGTCGTAGCCGTTATATTTCGACATTTTTTTTTTCACAAATTAAGGTGTTATATCCACTTGCAAGTTAGAATAAACGCGTTTATACGTATTTTTTTATTTGAAAATTTAATAAACTTTAATAAACAATGAATCATTTGTCTGACGGTGAGGAATTCTTTTCTACTTTTATTATCTACTAAAATTATCTCAAATTCCAAAACCAAAAAAATATATATTCTAACAATAGATGAATTACAGGTATTAATCGAAGCACAAGTCAAAATTTTGATTTTTAACAAAATGACAGCTTTCAAAGAAAAGTAGTTTTGTGACAAATTTACATGAGTGGTTTAAACGAATATTGACCTCGAAAATATTCCTTCGGTCATTACCTGACAAATATATCTATAAGGTGGTGTGAAAATTTTAAGTCGATCCGTCCAGTCGTTTTGGAAAACCTCACCGACTCTGAGAACAGTGTTGCGGGAAAAATGTGTTAAAAGATTTAGGTGCCGATAACACCTAAGTTAAAAACAAATATAATAAATACGGTCATATCTCCGAAACTATTTGCTTTATTAACTTTTCAAATATACGTACATTTAATAAAACTCAATTTTTGAAATTCACAAGTGGATTATAACACCTGATACCCACTTATAAACCTACTTATGCATTTCTTATATGTAGGATTTGATCAAATCCGCTATTACTATGGAGAGTTCGGAAGCGAAGAAGTTATACAAAGAACTCATATGAACAACCGGAAGAATCATAGAAACGACGTAGACGCAAAGGATCGGGCTTTAGAAAGGGTATAATAATAATAAATAAATTTCAAATACGTCAAATCAATGCTAATAAATTTTGCTGTTTACTTACAGTTTCGTAAAGTACCGCAGGTTGGCGCAGAAAGCTTCTTTAACGAATGTGAAAAGCCGCTAATTAGATATATTGATGAAAAGTTTAATTCTTACAAAGAATGGAGCGTAAATAAACAGGTAGTATAAATAATGGTCTAAACTAATTAAAACTCGTATAACTTTGTATAGTACGTTATTATTACTACTTGGGCCGAATGAA